TGAGTAGTAATCGCACAATATTGGCACATCAATCTGTGGTAAATTAAGCGCGCCGCCTCTCTGTAATCCCGGTTTCATGTTTATATAACATAAGAATGTGTAAGAAACATCAATTGGCGTACACAAGTGACAAGACCTTTAACCAAAACCACTATTCCGCATATTAACGTTCCAGGCGCGATACATCTTATTAGATCATTTGGGGGTGGGGCTTGAAGCGCGCTTGTAAAGTCACCCAATTAGAAAACGTTTCTGGACCTCGTCACGAAATTCAAAGTTATTTCCCTAATTTTGAGAAAACGCTTGCTTTTTTTGAAAAAATTCTTTCAGTTCCACGCTCAGTGATCATTAGTGCACCCTATTATATGACATATAATAGCACTTACATTTTTTGCATTCTCCCTTTTGCGATTCAATTTTCATACCAAAAAGGATATAAAAACCTATCGTACAGAACTCAACGGTTGCAAATTGATATTTGATTAAATGTTTTTAAGCAATTCTCATTGATTTAAGATAATAAGGTCACGCAATATGTGATTATTATGTTTGCTGGTAATTATTTAGACGAGTTCATTAGAAATATTACGGCATAACGTCGTAGAACTCCGACAGCGACACAAATGATAGTTATTAACGAACGACAAAAAGCGAGTTAATGATTTTGGACTTTCTGTCCGTCCGTCTGTGTACATGATAACTCACGAACGGTTTCGAATTTTCCAATTTCCCATTAAAACCCCGCTCCCTTCGGTCGCTCTGATTTAAAATGGTCATCGTCCTGTAAAGTAGGTACACATAAAACACCTTAGTGGCTATTAAGGGTGCCATAATAATTTGAATTTGCTGTTAAATAGACCATTTTGTTTTTATTTAATGTTACAAGAAGCAAACATTAAGATATTACGGCTATGTGTAAATTTTCATTTAACCAAGTTACCATTTTACGTGTATTGTAATAAAACTTGACTACTAGGAAAGTTAGTATAGCATTTTAAAACAAACGATAAACAGATTTGATTGCACTTCGCGCACGTAGGTACATATTATGTAATTCATATTAGGTTCGCCAGATTTATTTATACCTATCGCACTGTACACTTAATAACGAGAAATTTAATTAAAAACTAGTCGATAGATAACTTTCGAAAAGATCCCTCCATTCCTAAATCTTTGCTGCATGTGTATCGAGATCGATAGGTCTCGTCGCATGAATAGGTGTCATCCTCTATAAACCAGTCCCTGTAACTTTTAAATTTCCTAGACCATTCGTCTACAATCCAATTTTTAGCAAGGAATTACAATAAAAGAGATTAGTGGTAAGTTTACCCTTAAGAAAGTTTAATGGTAGGTTATCGCCACCGTATTCCAAGGGAAGTAATGAAAGTATATCATTGCCAACAGCTTCTTTCCAGCCTTGTATCGATAGAACGAAAGCCTGAAAAAACGTTTGTAGGTAATCTTTGGTAGTGCTATGTCGTGACACCTCTTACCCTCTTTTTAAGTTTGTCGCTCAAAAACGGATTAACCAGGGTATTGTATATTACTTCTGCGGGTTTTGGAGTATTTATAGTAATCAGTTTGTTCATTCTGATGGGATACATCTTCTCAATGCACGTTGCACACTTTTTCATAAGCGCAGGTGTACAATGTAACAAATGTCCCGCAGTAATCCCTGAAAAATCTGCTATTATTTGTAATCCAGAAATAACAGCATTGTCGTCTTCTATCATTAACATGTCAACAGCAGAGGTAAGTGCTTTACATGTTGTCAGCACCGATATCGCCTCGTGAAAAGTTATGAATAGGGTTCTTGGCCCAGCGTGTCCTTTTCCATTTGGTAGGAGAGCAATCAAACTGAAATTCAAATTGATGATTGAAACAGTTTTTGTCACAAACTCACCCGGTCCTACGTGCTGCTTGCATTTCATCTGATAAAGGATCCCTCTCACGGAACAGTTCCGGAATCAGTGTTTTAAATGTGTAATAACCATCAATTTTTTGTTTAGCTCGTTCAAGACTCCATTTACACCCACGAAGGAAAGCAATCAGGTGTTGGTAATCTAAAAAAAATCAACATGGCACAATTAAACAGATGTTATAGGCAGTTAATAAATTAAATAGTGTTTAGTGTTCGTCCTCGAAATATTCGCCCCAGAAAATTCGCCTCAACAAGATTCACCCCCATAAAGATTCACCCCCGAAAGATTCTCGGGATAATTTACACGGTGTTTGTAATAGATACAGTGAGTTTTTTTTAAATGCGAACATAGGAGTTTGCATACAATGTAATTTCCTTATGTTCGATTTTAAAAAAAAACACATCAATCTATGAGGTGTGCGCGGAAAATAAGAAAACAAATACCGAAAACAATTACAATAAATGTTCGAAGTGTCCTCCTTGACATTCTAAGCAGTAACCTAACCGATTTCGGAATTAAATTGGACGGAAGTATTTTTTAAAAATGTGACAGCTGTCAATTGTATATCTACTACTCATTTGAACTACTCAATAGATTGATGTGTTTTTTTTTTAAATCGAACATAGGGAAATTACATTGCATGCAAACTCCTATGTTCGCATTTAAAAAAAATTCACTGTATATCATAAAACGGCACTTGTATATTTCATCATAGTCTAAGAGCTGGCTACGGAAAAAAGTGACTTATCGTTACCTAGCTTTTTTGTGTAAAGTATCCTAATAGGTACATAGTGATGTAGAAAAAGTTATGTCTACCAACGAGATCCCGTGGCTTAAGGTTGGGAGGGGCGGTCAAATATGTCAAATTTTAATAAAGCTGCCGATTTTCCGACTATATTTACCTCTGGCGCTTTTATTTTGAATGAAATGGATGAGACTACGATAAAGTAAACCTACAATTTAAGTGGAAACACGTCTATTAGGCGGCTAATACAGACATGTAAAAGTTGTCAAATATCACATGTTTGTCAATCGCCAAACTGTTTGTCCAGCTACTCGTCACATCACGAGTATGGGTATATACCTCGGTATATAGGTACACATGTGCAAATTTGGCAAATGGCAAATCAAAACGGGAACTTCAAACTTATTGCGCTAGTATGTATACTTTTTGCTTTCACGATGGAGGTAGAATTTGTAGAATTTCGATTTTTATGTAAAATATTCGCGGCATCCCATATTATGGGTTCCTTTTTGTACAGTTCTAGAAATTCGATCACCGTTTCGTTCGTCCACTCCATCGAGCAGGAGCACGCAATACAATAATAAATAATTGATGCACAAATGTGCATAGATTAACAGATTCATATTCTTGAATACGCATAATAAGTCTCAAGGTGGTCGCAATTGCAACCTCTGCAAAGCACGCATATGTGTATCAGCGACAAGTTTACTTTTTGACGAACATTTCAGCCCTTTGATGTGTGCTTATTTACCGACAATCGACGGGAAATTTTTGAAATTTGGCAAATCCCGAACATTTGCTTTAACTTTAACTTATATGTGTGTATCTAAGCTATTTTTCAAATGGCAAACATTTGCTATTTGGAATTCGTCAAACTTCCCATGTCTGTAGCCCGCCTTATAATATGAGGACTACGGTTGGGGCATTGTATCAAGACGATAATGATAAATGATGAGTCATCTCGAATAAGGAATGAAAGCGGGTGTGACTCATTCTTTCTGTGACCTAGATTATTATATACCTAAGGTTTATCGTTTGTTAATAAGCAAAATGAATTGCGTTTAGTCTCAGTCTTAGCATCGATGTCGAAGTGATAAATAATATATTCGTATAAATGTGAATGCAACAAATATAAATGAACTGTTATAAATCAGTCTATTTGAGCAGCATTACAAATTTAGTTTATCGTTATTAGTTCCTGTGAACATTATATACATAAACATTTAAATATTAAATAGAGCACCTAATTAAATTTACATTACAATTCATTTTAAAATATGCGGAATACTTTACCATATACATCATACAAAAGCACAATCTCGACAAATCCTTCCACTGTCCGCAATCGTTTACTCACCCGGTATGTTTTGGCATATGCGTATATTCGATATTTTTTTTTAATGCACGGCAAACCCCCTTCTCTGTATCATAAATTCACACCTCAGAAAGATTTGCGTATATACAAGTAAGGTGTATCACGAGTACCTTGCATTTTAAAACATGCTACAAAATATCAAAAGCCGTCCTGCTCTCCCGGATTTGCTATCGTGTTGAATAGTTAACCAGCGACTGTATAATGCCCGAAATTCAACTAAAAAAGGGCTTCATTACTTACCGTTTCTGACCTGTAAGTGTCGTTGCTTCTTCAACCATTCATCAAAAGCTTCAAGAGTTTCTCTAGTTCGCTTAGGGTCTTCATTTAATTGTTTTGCCGCTATGTTACTCAGTTCCTTGGAAATGACACGTATGGATTGTGTTCTAGGGTGCATTGTGTCTGGAAGACCGCACCGTGGATAGCTGAAATTTAATAAAAAAAAGATAAAGTTGAGACATTACTTTTTTTATTCAAAACCTATTTACCCTAAATTATCCTGAAGCCTTCATTTTTATGCCTACTTTGTGTCATGAAATTTTAGTTTATTTCATACTGTCCGTTATACAGTACATTACATCATTCATTTGAGTCCGGAAAGTGATCTATTACATCACAAGGCCGGAAAGTGTTGCGTAGCAACTGATAATTTTCTGACAAGAAGAAACGTCAAATTTATTTAAGACGATAGCTATTTACATTATCATTCGAAAGCTTTATACAATTAGAATTCTCACTAACTTTAATAGTGGACACACCCCATCGCTGGGGACTGTGGTGGTGGAAACCTCTTGCCACCTTCTCAACCATATTCTTGGGACGAAAATTGCACTAATTTCTGTACAAGTTCAAAAAATTCACTCCATCGCACTTATTAATGACTGTAAATACGTCTACGTCTACCGTGAGTTTTTGTGTCCTGAATCCTGATGAATCGGAAATTAAAGGGTTGTACAATTAGGTGTCATCTAACCTTTACTAAACCACAACCGTCTATAATTACAAGCCGTGCTGAGAATTATGGCAACACTGCATGGTAGGCCGATTTCCTAATTCAACTTGGCAGATTTCAGGTGTATTTTATACGTGTTTTGGGTGTAATATTCCTATGTACCTGTTTTAACAGAGTGAGATTGCGACAATTTGTGTTACTCTGTATGGAATGAACGGAAATTATTATTCAGGTAAGTTGCTAAACGAAATACATCGATTTGTTGTCATAACCTCTAAAGCAGGCTACTCCTTGCTGGACGCTTTTCAAGCACTTGTATTTGTTCAAAGTACCTGTACAAGCTCAAATATGACCTACACACTACGTGGTGCGTAAGTACGCTAAGTGTTTATCGTGAAAAAATACAATTAGGTAGTTTGTATTTCAGGTATTCTAGCACGGACATGTCAAATCGATTTTCTGAAAGAACCTTTCAACTTATCCTCAAGAGTTCATGATACGGGAATTTGAAGTCTACGGAGCTCCCCTCTTTAAAAGCTTCGTACCTAGATCCACTGGAGTAGCGACTGGCTTAAAATCTGCCATTCCGAATCACACCTGGTCGTTGATAAAACCTCGCTGATGCGCAGCGATTTACTGTCCTTTTACCGAAATTAAGTGCTCAAGCGTGTGCTTCACCTCGACCTCTTTCGACAGAAGTTCACCAATTTCGGAGATCTCGATGGAAAACACATTATGATGCAGTTACCAATTTACAGCGTTCCGAATTTTAAAGTCAAATAAAAATGTTATTATCCATTTCTGTAAATAAATAAAATATATGTACAATTATAAACTGCCTAAGTATCTTTCTTCTGTATTAAAACCACCATGGCGAAACACAGGAAAGAGGAAAAATGCAATTTTTGAAGGGTAACAAGACTCCATTAAAACCTATATCGGCCCACCGATTGACTTTCGGACAACGTTGCCAAACTTCTCAGCATGGCTTGTAATTATAGACGGCTGTGACTAAACGGTAATCTTTTGTAGGCGCTGTCAGCTTGACATATTTGGAAATGTTCGCGTTTTCATTTATTATGGTTTTGCGCATTGAATATTTGGACCACAATGTACTTAGAACTAGAGAACTTTTTGGCCTAGAAGGTATTCTATTAGTTTAAAGAAGACTTGTTAGCCCTAATTGTTTTCTTACCGCATCCAAGAAGTTAGAAAGCATGATGTTTTCGTTCACATTATTGGCCCGTATGAATAAAAGTAAGCAAATGCTTATACTTGCAAAATTCAAAGTAAATACTCGTAACTGCCCTTCTGTTTAGCATGGTTTAGCAGCGCTGCACTGCGTCCTGTCCTCCTGCTTAGAAGCGCTGCTAAGTCGCCCAGTGCGAAGCAGCACTTACGAGTATTTACTTTGAATTTTGCAAGTATAAGCATTTGCTTACTTTTATTCATACGGGCCATTATCCTCCTGCACCTTTTTTCGCCAAGCACAAACTATATAACTGATACTGATTTCTGGGGAGGAGATTTTCTACAGCTTCTTCACTTTTTGAACAAATCACACTTACAAATTCACCACCAGAACATGCCGCGTTAATTTTTTTTACAAATAAATGAACAAGTCAAAACAATTCGTGCGTAACTATGCAACGGTACCGGATTCAAAGGTGATGCGACTAAAGGTGGTATGTGTTATGTAAAAGAATCAAAAGAAATCTCAAAATTGAGACAGTATGAAATATAGTATATTAAGATACAAGTGTATAATCAAGTCTTTAAAGCACGCGCAACGAGTTTAAGGGCACGACGCAAAGCGGAGTGCCTTTAACGTTGCAAGTGCTTTAAAGACCAATTATACACGTGTATCTTATAGTATTTTTTATTATACCTGCAGTATAATTTAAAAATAGGAAATTCAATGAAATCATATTGACGTTATGCTCGAATGCATGTCTAATTAAGTGGGCTGGGTGTTCGTAATTTCACGATTGCCATGGAAATGTCACTTGACGTTTGCTTATAAAAATCATCGTCTTTGTGAATTAAAAGATTTCCGTTGAAAAAGATAATACACCGTCCATTAAATCGATTGTTGTAAAATCTAAACAAACGTTGGTAGGTGTAAAATCCAAATCCAGCAAAGCCTATTATAAAGAATATGAAAAGTTGTTTCCATGGATGAATAGGAAGTTACTTACGAATACAGTCTTAAATGCATCCATAATGCTGGCATATATGAAGGAAATGTCAAAGGTATTTAAATCTTCTATATTTTGGTGCATTCATTCAAAACTTTAAAGCAATGCTGCGATTAAAAAGTGGAACAGATTTGGAAGCATACCCTAAATTACGCGCGTTTGTGAAAGCTTCAACCAAAGGATAGGTACAAAAGCCAAAGAAATGTTCTGCATTTACAGAAAGCGACCTAAGAGGATTTTTTATTTCATCCAGATGACAGTTTCAAAAGTCATACTTGAAGTATCGTTACTTAGCAACTTTAAAGCACGTGTGTTTTAAAGGCCCTTTTTCGCACGCATTTGAGTGTTTAAAACGGAGATTGTGATTCAGGTATAATAAATAGTACATTGAAATACAAGTGCAGAAACGGTATTATTGAAAAACGAGTATAAATGTAGGAACACGAGCGCCAGCGAGTGTTCCTATTATACGAGTTTTTCAATGACCGTTTCGGCATGCGTGTTTCATACTATTTTTTCTACGAAAGTGAAAAGTTCTTCTCTAGAAATTAGAAATTTAAACTAGTCAGATAACGGCAGAAAATCGTGTAGTCTGATCGTAGTTTAATGTTTCAATTGTAAATGATCAAGTAAGCCGGTTGCCATGACAAAACATAATTGTTTGAAAAATCGTAAATTTAAGTCAAACAATTTGTGGCGTAGTGAAGAAGTGTTAAGATGGATTTTGACGAAACTGAAGATGAAGAAGGTATGTGCACCCCGCCGGACGTTGCGGAAATGGCTAATGCGGTTTCGCATGAATTGCTACCCCAAAAGTCTAAGCAGCGTTTCGGAAAGGAACGTTTTCATAAGAGAACAAATCGCTAAGTTTTTGGGAGAAGCGCCTGATGAAACATTTGTAATGATGAAGGTTTGTGAATTTCTTATTGTATTTTTAAATAATAAATAAGCATAATTTAATTAAAGGTTGCTCTCGTCCTTGGAGTGGCTGGAGCTTGCCGTCGGAGCGAACGTTGTAAAATGACTGTAACGGATTTCACAGAACAAGATACAATTTTATTGATAACGATTCCTGACTCCAAGAATCTTGTCCCAAGAACGTTTTCTGTAGCAGAAGGCCAAGAAAATTGGATATAGATTTATACCAAATCCCTCTAATGTGCCAACTAATCGGTTTTTCTTAAATTATAAGAAAGGTAAATTTACCGTTCAACCGTATAGGTAAACACGTTTTGCAAAATTCCTCAACAAACTGCAAATGATCTAAATCTGCCAGATCTTTTTGCTTTTACCGGTCATTGCAGTTTTCGCCGGACTTCGGCCACGCTACTTGTTAATGATGGGCAGATATTCTGAGCCTAAAGCGTCACGGAGGTTGGAGTCGTCAATGGTAGCAGAGGGTTACATCGATGAGAACGAAAGTTGGTTTCCAAGAAAATAATTGGTAATGCTTCTGATATTTCTGAATTAACTGGTACCTGCACATCGTCTTGGGCGTTCAATGTAATAACTTCCAATCTTTCGATTTCAAAATCTATTAATCAGTTAAAGTCGACAATTCCAGGTGTAAGTACAGGTAATTGTTCATCTTGTACCTTTAATATTTATTAGTAATTAGTCATATTTCATGTATGATTTTTTAGTTGTAGTTTAATTGTAGTTTTAAGTGATCCAATTTTTCTGCCATTGTCTTATATAACGAAACTGTGAATAAAGCGATACAATTACAAAGAGTTACTTCGCATATGTTTATTAGCGTGTAGAAAATGCGTGCAGAAAATATTTTTGCCGCACTAGTGTTTCAAAGACCTGTTTTCACAATCAATTTACCTACAAAAACAATCGTGTTTCTACACTTTCGTAGAAAAAAATTATTAAAGCACTCTTTTAGAAATCCCGAACTCGGCTCGTTCGTCGCCTCGTCCGTAAACATCTAAACTCGTACTTTAATAAGCCACTTCCCGGCCTTATAACGTAAATACTATTTCATGCATCTGTCAGAAATTTCTTAGTTTTCCATGGCAAAGGCAAAGCAGACTAGTTTACTGCCACTTGTTCACTTTATGGCCGTCACCTGTCACTTTTACGACTGCGCCTACTCGACTCCCTGGTCGTCACTGACGAGATTGACATTAATCAAAAGTTCTACTACACAAAATTTTTCATTTTAAATTAAATAGATTTTTGGGTAAAAATTTTAATACAAAACTCGTCAGTCAATGGACATTACTTGAATGGGAATTAAAAGTACTGATCAAATGGGTTTAGTCTTCATAA